ATAATGACCTACAATGACCTAAAATCAAAAATTGATAATACGGCGGCGTTTTAAAAAAAATATTCGAATTTTATCCAAAATTTTGGTCGTTTTTGGCCTGCCGAAATTCGATTTTTTGATCAGATCAAAAATCGATAGGTCATTGTACGGAGAACTATATATAGAACATGTAAAAAGATTCGATGGTGATCAGATCATTTGTTTTGGAGTAATCACTGCAGCAAATTCAGAAAATGCTGTTTCGAGAAAAACGCGTTTAAAAATAAAATGATCGTTTTTACTCGTAGCTTATGAGACTCTCTAGCCGCCGAACGGCTGCTCTTTAAATTGCTATAACTCAAAAACTATTTGAGATATCGATTTGAAATTTTGATATGTTATTTTTAAGAGTGTAACCTACCAAAATATGGAAAAAGATCGCTTTTTTTTTTAAATTTCACACTAGGTGTGCCTTCAGAAAATACCCTGAAGCCATTTGCGATCGAGCTCATCCTCTAATTTGAGCTTTTCTATATTATAATATTATTTATTATAATATGGATATCAGTATTTCTATTGACTTTTCATTTTATAGCTATTACCAGGGTTGCATTTTATTTTTCGGGATTTGGCAACCCTAGTGTTACAATCTGGCAACTGACAGCTTTATAAATTTCTCAAAAAAATGCTTCGGAACATGACATTTCGCAACCGCACCGTTATAACAGCGAAGCACAGTAAGTGGTATACAACCATTTGCTTGCCAGTTGTCTTTCGAGGAATCAGGAGAATGAAACGCCGAAGAAGAATAACTCTTCACCACGACAATGCGAGTTCTCATACAGTAAAAAAAACTGAATTTTTGAGCAATCAAAACGTGGACTTGGCACCGAATAAGTACTTTTTGTACTTTTGAACTGAGAGTTGGACATTTTTCGATTTCTTAAAAGTGCGGTTGCTACGTTCAGAACTCATGGTTTGGAGATACCTTTTGAAGAGCGGTAAAAATGCTTTGCAAATTAGTTCAAATGCATGCAAAAGTTTGTAGAACAAAATGTAGAATGCGAATTAATATTTGTTTTTGTTTGAGCGAAATCTTTTGATTACAATTATTCCTTAAAATATAGAAAATAAGAGGTAGAGAATTGTGCTGCCATGGTGTCAATATTTTATTTCATTTTAAATTTTTTTTATTTAATAAGGGTTTTGTTATTCTGTTTTGTTTTATTTCATTTATATTTTATTTTTATTTCTTTGAATTTATTTCACCTTGCTTTATTTTAATTTAATTTATTCAACTCTATTCTGTTTTATTTTGATATATTTAGTATATATTTTAGTTTATTTTATTTAACTTAATTTCATTTATTTAACTCTATATATGTATATATATATATATATATATATAATTGGCGATTTGTAACCGCTCAAGCGATTTTCCTCCGAACTTCACCTCCAATTTGTGGTTTTGATTTGTCTTGATGTTTTTCCAACAAATCGGCCCATTTATACTAAGTCGCCTCCGGACGACTGATGGGTGTTTAAGTGGAGCTTTTTTTTTTAAGTCAGAAATACACTCGGAGGGGTTGACATTCTCTGCCGAAGGGGAGACCGCAATTAGAAAATTTAGCTTAATTTTTTTTTTCAATTAATTTTCTATCACTTTTTGGATATTGGTCGCACGGGGATTTAAACCCGAGCCTTCCAAATAGCAGTACACAAGACTAACCACTAGACTAACGCGGCCGATTCTGTTTTATTATGATTTATTTAGTAAGTTTTTTTTAGTAGATTTAATTTAATTTAATTTAATTTATTTCATTTTGATTAATTTAATTTACTTTAATTTAATGTAATTTTTTTACCTGATTTTATTTTATCGTATTTATATCTTGTTTTATCAAATTTCTTTTTTTACTAAGTTTGCTTCTCTTATTTTTTCATATTTAATTATTTTACATTTTTTCTTTTTTTTAATTTTTTTTTAATTTATTTATTTAAATTTAGTTGATGATCTGATGATTTTATATGATTTTATTTAATTTTTGTTATTTTATTTTGTTTTATCTCATTTTATTTTACTTTATAACATCTTGTTTAGTCAAATTTCATTTTAAATTAACTAATTTTTTTTATTTTATTTTTTTATTTGTTCATTCCACATATTTTATTTTTTAGTTATTTTATTTCATTTTATTAGTTCGTTATTTTATGTTCCTTTTTTCTAAATATTTCTTAAACTATTATATTTTTTTTATTCGATTTGTTTTTATCTTATCTTAGTTTATTCTATTTATTTCTGCCTTATATTTTTAAATTTATTTATTTCACATTTTTTTCTTTTAATTTTTTATTTCTTTTTATTTTATGATATTAATTTTTTTTTTTAAATTGTTTTGAAAATATTTTTTTTTCATTCTATTTGATTTCACTCAATTTTATTTTTTGTTATTGCGTTTCATTTTATTATAATTTAATTATTTTTTTTATTTTAATTGTATTTTATTTAAATTTAATTTTAATTTATATAATTTTATTTCATTTTGTTTTATCTTATTTTACTTTGTTTAATATCATCTTTTTTATCAAATTTCATTTTAATTTAGTGTATTTTTTTAGATTGTTTTTTTTTATTCATTTATTTATTCCATACTTTATTTAAATGTATTTTATTTAATTTTGTTATTTCTGTTTATTTTATGTTACTTATTTTTTAAATTTTTTGGAAATTAATTTTATTCTTTCCATTTTTTTTTATTCTATTTTATTTTATTTTATTTTATTTTATTTTATTTTATCATACTTTAATTTAATTTAACTTTTAAATTTTATTTTTTGTTTTATTTATTTATTTATTTCACACTTTTTCTTTCAATCTATTTTATTTATAAATCTTGTTATGTTATTTCTTTTCATACAATTTTTTTTTAATTTTATATGATTTTACTTTATATAAGTTCATTTTATTTTATTTCAGGACATATTATTTTATATTTATCTTATATATGAAAGTAGTTTTAGTATTTATATATGTTTTTTTGCTAACTTTGTTTAATTTGAAGTCAATAATTTTTTTTTGTAATAATTTCATTTTTTGTTTGATTTGATTTTTATTTGGTTCATTTATCAATTTTATGTATTATAATAAATTTTATAATATTTTTATTCTAATTTATTAATTGTTTAAAATTTTATTTTACTTCAATTCATATTACTATATTTTGCTTTATCTTTGTTTTGTATTTTATTTTAATTAAATTTATTTCGGTTTTTTATCAATTTTTAATTTAAGCTGTGCTTATAAAGTTTAATTTAATTTTATTATTCTTGCTAAATTACAATCAAATCTATTTTTGTATTTATTTTTTTAATCTATTTACATTTATTTTATGGGACCATGTTTGCTTATATATATTTTTTTTTGGTGGTTTTAAACTAGTTTAGTCTTTTTATTTTATTTAACTGTATTGCTTATTTGGGTTTTATTAATAAACATAAAATTCCTTTACAATATTTTAATTTACTAATTTAATATAATATAATTTTTTTATATATATATTATAATTTTTTGTGTTCAAATGGGATTTGTTTTATTTTAGTTTTAGTTGTTTAATTTCATCTTTTCTATTTTATTTTATTTTTATTTTGTTTGATATTTTTTTATTTTGTTGTGTTTTATTTTGCTTTACCTTAGTTTTGTGTATTGTTTTAATTTAATGAAAATATTTTTTAAATGTAGTTTACATAATTATTATTTTATTTAATATTATCATTTTTAGCTTAGTTAATTTTAATATTTTTTAATTTATTTTGTTATACTTTAATACATTTTAATTTTTTTCATTAGCTAATTTTTTATGATTTTTGATATATTTAAATTTAGTTTGTTCTATTTTGATTGATTTTTATTATATTACTTATTTTAAATTAAACTTATTACTATTTTATATTGTTTTATTTTTTTTAGTTTAATTTAATTTATTTTTTTTTTTTACTAATTTTGTTTTATGTAATTTTTTATTTATTATTTTAGTGAGTTTGTTTTTCAATAATCATAAGTTAAATTTAATTTATTTTAATTTAGTTTTTTTTTTAACTTTGTTTTATTCCATTTAGTATATTGTGTGTAAGTCAGACATGCCGTCCATCACATCGAGCAAAAGAATATTAATAAACCGTTCGCAAAACTCAAAAATATACCGTGGGAATGAGCAGCGAAAATTTTCCTTTCCAGAATGTAAGAGCCTGTAAAGCAAGCAAACCTCGTTATCTAACAAAGCGAGCAAAAAACGTTGCTTCATACATAACTATAATAAAATACATCGAAATAAAGTGCATAAACTCAGTTTTCAACTCCAAACACAATCATTTATGTTAAGCTTAAAGCCTAAGCCGCCACCCCAACATTTGCAGCTTGTTAAACATTTGTTGTTATTGGTATTGTTGTCAAAGGAAAAAAAAACTCGTGCAAGGCAACGGCGGTCGCAGTTAAGCTGGCTTTGTATTGTTGCAGCTGGAAAACACAGTTGTTGTTGTTATTGTTACTTTGTGTTTTCCCTTTCTTCATGCTCTTATTAATGTTGCTGCCACAAATGTGAGTCGCTATTGCTGCTGTTGTTGCTGATCTCGAGTTTGCAAGTTTCCATGTAACGAAACGCAGCTTTACGCGTTGTAATGAATTTTGCACCGGAAAAACAAAAAGCAAAAAAAAAGGAGAAGAAAAATCAAAAAAGTAAAACAACTGTAAACAATAATGAAAAACTCGTTTCTGATTTCTGCCGCTCGTAGTAGTTACAGTTTTCAATAATTCAGCTTTGTTGGGCGGCCAGCAACAGCAGCGGCGGCGGCAGCAGCAGCAGCTGTAGTTAACAGATTGTTGTTTTTGCCATTGCTGTTGCTGTTGCTGTTGTCACTCTCACATGTTGGCTGCTGCAGCTGCTGGTGCTTGCTGCTTGGCTGTCTGCTGTCTGCTGCCTGCCGCCAACTTTTATGGCCCAAGCGTATAAATAAACGCAAAGAATACGAAATGGAAACAGTTTTTAGTGCGTTTTTGAAAACGTTTGATCAACAAATCGAATTTTGTCGTCATTAAAGTGCTGTAAAGCGTTGCAAACAAGTCCACAAGTCGTTGCTGCCTGGAAAAAAAAAAAGTTTTAATTCTTCTTTAACTAAATACAAGCTTAGACGACGGAAATATAAAATGGCTTTTAAGGTATGCAGTTGCATGGAAGTGTTGTTGTTGTGCGTAGTGTTATTTGTAGTTCAAAAGGGACATTTGGGGTTCATTTAAAGAAAAGTTTTGGTAAATATATATGTATTATCATACATACAAACTGATTGCTGAAGTTGACAAATCAGACTTAAATGTTTATGCCTTATGAGGAAATAAGAGATTTAAACACACATAAAAGGATTGAGGAACTGATAGAAAAGTGCGATATTTTGAGAATTGAAGCTTGTGTTTTTATCCATGTAGACTGAAATGGAATTTTCGATAAAAAATTAAAGAAAATCTTAAAATACTCAGAAAGAGTCCTTTTGATTTTTAAAACTATCTGAGCTAGAAATTAAATATTCTGAATAACAGAAGCGATATTTCCATCCAAATTTTCATTCAAACTTCAAGATATTACCCATTAAAAATTTTTCATATATATTTTCTGATTAAAAAGCTAATTTTATTAACAATAGATTTCAGTAAATCATTTTATTTCATTAATATCATTTTTATTTAAATTTTTTGCGAGTTGTTTTACTTTATTTAATTTTTCGTTGACAGTGAAATGTTTTTAATTTTTTATTATTTTTTCAGTTAGAAAGTTGAAATTAATTTTTTTTTTAATAACTGAAATTCGTAGCCCAAAAATAAAGCAAAATTCTTAAAATGTATTATGTTAGATAGTTAATATTTTTTTTTTATAAAATTTTAAGTTGAATTTCACTGTCTTTGCATAATAGACGGAATTATGACGAATTCAACCGAAGTTTCCACCTGAACTATCTGCTGCTATAAGCAACATTTTTCTTGATTAAAAATAATTATTTGATGACAGCGCGCATGTTCTTAAAAAGTAAGTTCTACGCAGAATTACTCTGATTTCCGCCACCTACTCAGGTGCTAATTTTGTACTGTTAACTTTTGCATTTGCAGAGAACTACAGTTTAAGCTAAGCCGCCTCTGAAAGGCTGACAAATACAATCGGGGAGTTTTATATTCTCTGCCGAGAGCCGATTGCAAGTGAAAAAATTAATTTAGTTTTCTTATTTTAAATTAATTATCTGGGATTCCTTATTTACTCGTAATAGTAATTAATTAATTTTTTTTTTAGTTAAAAAAATAATAATAAAATTGGCTTATTAATAAGAATTTTATTTTTAAACTTACAACATGCCAATTAATTGTTTGCAAAATGAAAAAATTAAACAAATTCTTTTTTCAATTTAATTTTTATTAACAAAAAAAATTTTCTTCTACTTCATTTTTTCAATAATATTAGTCTGCGTCTGAGTCTTAACATAAATAATGCACACAAATTCCAGAGTTCAAGACATAAAAGTAAAAGAGATATAAAAATTCGAAAGACAGCAAATATTACGGTGTCAATTAATTGTTTACATTTCGTAAACAATTATTGTAAAAATAATTAAAACTGAGAAAATATAGCAGCGTTGGTACTAATATTTGGCATGATGACCACTTGCATCTATAACAGCTGGAAGACGACGGGGCATGGACTGAAAAACTTTTTAGGGTTTTTGTTCCACTCTTCCTGAATGACCTTACTAATAATTACTGCAATTATATAGTAGCCACGTCCTGTACAGCAATGACTTATGTTTGGAATCGTCCTCCTGGCACAGTTTGTACCTTAATTTATTAGAGTTTTCATGGTCAACAAATCCAAAAGTTCTCGCACTCCCTGACAATTCGTTCTTTATAATGTCCAGGGGAAACTGCTCCGTCTTCACGTCATTGAAAATTCGGCGCTCACCAACACCTTTTGACAAAATGCAATCCCAAACCATTACTGAAAACCTACAAAATTTTACTGTTGGAATTATATTTTTCTGTTGCAAAGCTGTGTTGGGTTTCTTCAAACTTTACCGGGTTCATCATGATGGTATAACATTATTGACGACTCGTCGCAAGAGATAACTTCATCAAAGTATTCAGCAGTCCTGTAAACGTTTGTAAGAGAAAAGTTGAGCCGCTTCTCAATATTAACTACCGACTAATGGTTTCTTTCCAGCTATTTCCGAGAAGTACTTGTATGTTTTTAAGATTTCTCGGATTGTCTCGTCACTAACGGTTTTATGGCAATCATTTTTAGTATCTAACGCCAATTTTTTCAGAGTGGTTTGAGATTATCACTGATCTGCTTTAAAATTTTTGAATGATCGCGTCTAAAAGGTTTCGGTTATTTACCTTCAGTGTATTTTAACTCCCCGTTTTCCCTTTGTGGTAGTTCAAATAAACTAATCGAATAACATTTTCATTAGTTCGCTTGCGAGACGCTTAACCAACACCATCTGAGTTGTCCAAAGTCTCAATCGCATGGAATGTAATAGAGCAACGCACAGCTAAGACGCACGCGTTCACTCGTTTTCAAATTTGTGGTACCGTTAAGTTATCTAGGTTTTATTTTTCAGTTCTAATGTTTGTTATTTCTGTGAGAGATATTTGTTAAGGATGCTTAGATTAACTTTATGAATTAATAAAAAAAGGAAAATAAAATACTTTCATTTATAAAATAAAATTTGAAAATTTGATTTTTGTATATATAGTTTTATAAAAATACCTTAATTGAACTTAATTTTCTGTTCATTTCAAATGCACTTATTTATGTTTGGTTGGAAGATCTAAACTAAAGTTATTTCTTAAATAAACCTTTGAAAGGAAACTAATTGATCTGTCACTAAAAACCAATTTCATTTTGGAAAAAAATCAAGGGCTCAAAAAATCATCGAAATATGTTGTGTTTTCCTTTAAGGACAAAAATTTAGGTCCTATTTTACGCTGGTCTAAGAGTCCATGATTGGGCGCTTGTCATTTACAGTCGACTTACATTACATTAATATGCGAATTATCCAGCTTTGAAGAGATCAAAGGGTTCGCAAAAGTGCCTAAAATACTTTTCACCACTTTCATCTCGTATACAGGAGCTCTGTTAAGTGTCGAACGAGGCTCTTGCTATCTTAACTTAGGCACCAACATCTTTATCCACTGAAATAAAGTGAGGAAAACTCCAACCGCTAATGTCACCTAGTAGTTCTATAGATTGCTGGTGGATGATGGTTACGTAGTTATTGGATTCTGATCCTCCTTTATATAGGCGGATTTTTTAAGCAGTAAAGCATCGTCTCCATGCCTTAAAAATCCATGAAATCGCCATCAGAACCATGTGTAATTAACAATTTTTTTTTGCCAAAAATCGTCTAAAAATTATGGTTGAAGGGATCACTGTTAATTAGGCCTATTCTGTGTACTTGATATATTCATCATCTTGCTTATTTATCAAGTTTGACGAATTATCAAGATTTCTATATCCTGTGTTATAAATAAAAAGTTCTTTTCTTGATAAATTGTTAGGCTGTCAAATGCTGTTGACAGTGTTTTTTTTTTTTGTTTTTTTTTTTTTTTTTTGGTAATAAAACATCTTTTTTACTGTTTGTGCATAGTTGTGAATAACAAATTGTACGAAAGGAATATAAATATTTTAATTATATCGTTGTTGTTGGGCGAAGAGAAAAATTGCGAAAATGTGTATCGCTCGCGTCAGTTTGGAAGATATGACGCTAGTTATCCATTTTCGTGATATTTTCGCAAATTTTTCGTTTGACTTGCGAAATTTGCCGTCATCTCATAGATAAACTGGCCCAAACATGATAACCGAAAAACCTCACTGTCTTTAATCATAAGAGTTCTGGTGGCTTTAAGCTTCTTTGGGTATGGTTCATATCAAAAAAGAAGTTTTCCTGTTGTAAATTTGAAGGGAGAAGAAGTAAAATTTCCCAGTTCGGAAATGGAAAAACACTTATCACACTAATATGCCTGTACAACAGCAGAAAGAACCTTGCCTTATTCGCGGTCAAGGTTATCCTTTAGAGCCGAGGCTTCTAACGGTAGTTGAGGAACCTAAATCCTTTGAAGAACTAAAGTACAGCAAACTAAGTGGTTCTGCCAGTATGTATATACTATTGTATATACTGGTGAAGGTAATACATTTCAATGTTCATCACATATGCGGAGAAAAGCACAACAAAATGAAGCTTTCTGCTTTATCAAGATTGACACAGAATACCAAATAAATTCTTTCTTTTTAAAGAGCTTGATAAATTATCAATATTTTGTTAATTTGTCAAGCAAACAGAATAGAGCTACAAATTATCGCTGTAAAACAACAATTTTTGTAAAATTTTGTCGTCATCCAAGCTTTCACTTCTTTAATTCTTTGGGGTTTCATTACTCTTTCTATTACTAAGGGTTTAGGTTTTGCGATCCGCTCACATTTACTGCTAGTAAAACTTTCCACCTCTCTTTACCATGTTTTTTCCTATGGCAATTTTTCCTCTGTAAATTCATGGCAGTCTCGTCCAGTAAACATTGGAAAGATAGACCAGTTTCATCAGTTTGAAAGATGTTTTGGGCTAGTTTTCACTCAAAGTCTTCAATTTACCGTACCAATATAAACAAACTTCATCATTATTAAAATTTCCTTAAAAACTGTTTTAAATTCTACTCTCCTCTTCTTTTTCTTCTCATCTTGAAATTTGTAAGCCATTCCCAGCAATGATTTTTTTCATTGGAATTAGCAATTTCGTAAAATCATTATTAGTTCGAACTATTGAATATCGGAATTTTCTGAGTACTAGGACTATTTCTGTAAATTTTTTGGTTATATTTTCATTTAAAAAATTGAAAGTCTTAAGCTATAAAATGCCTAACTTTTAGTATGTAACTAACTCTGGGTAGCTAGAGCTCCACAAGCACCTTTTTTCTACTGTTTCCCTCTGCGATTTGATGGATTTGCATTTCGTAGTATCGATGTACGATAAAGGTTCCATTGAATTAAGAAATTCCGTAATTGATCGTTAGTATCAGTTTTCAATGCACTAAAACATAGTCTAAAGGCATAAAATTAATTTAAAAGTTCTATTTACCAAGGGCTGAAATTGAAAGATTTTTGAGGGAAACATAAAACATATCTTCTC